CAGAGAGTAGACAGACAGGGAGACAGACAGGGGAGACAGACAGGGGACGACGGAACGAAGGGAGACAGAGCACGAGGGAGCAGCGGAGACGGCGAGAGAGGAGACAGACGGAGACGGACGGCGAACCAGACCAGCACAGACGAGACAAGAGGACCAGCACGGGAGGACAGACGGAGAGCGGAGACAGCGAGACACGAGACGACGGGAGCGGGCGCGCGCGAGACAGCGGAGAGCGGAGAACGACGGAGGCAGACCCACCGCGCACCCGAGAGGAGCAGACGCGGAGGCAGACGGGGAGACAGGGGCAGCACAGAGGAGGAGAAGCGGGGACAACGGGGGAGGACGACGAGGAGACAGACGGAGACAGACGGGGAGAGACGGAGACAGGGCGGGAGACAGCGAGACAGGGGAGACAGACAGGGAGACAGACAGGGAAGACGGAGACAGAGGGGAGAAGACAGACATGGGAGCCACGACAGGGAGACAGCGAGGGAGACAGACGGGGAGGACAGACCGAGGGAGACAGACAGAAGGGAGACAGACAGGGAGACAGACGAGGGCAGACAGACAGGGAGACAGACGAGGGAGACAGAAGACAGGGAGACAGACGGGAGACAGACGGGAGACAGACAGAGAGACAGAGCGGGAGACAGACAGGGAGACAGCACGGGAGGGCAGACAGGGAGCAGACAGGGAGACGGCAGGAGACGGCGGAAAGACAGGAGGAGACAGGCAGGGAGACAGAGCAGGGAGACAGACAGGGAGGCAGACAGGAGGCAGACAGGGAGGCAGAACAGGGAGGCAGACGGGAGCCAGACAGGGAGGCAGACAGGGAGGCAGACGGGAGGCAGAAGGGAGAGACAGGACAGCGGAGACAGACAGGGAGACAGACAGGGGAAGACAGGGAGACAGACAGGGAGACAGACAGGGAGACAGACAGGGAGACAGACAGGGAGACAGACAGGGAGACAGGACAGGGAGACGGCAGACAGGCAGGGAGACGACAGGAGCACAGGAGGCAGAAGGGAGACAGGACAGCGGAGACAGACAGGGAGGCAGACAGGGAGACAGACAGGGAGGCAGACAGGGAGGACAGGGAGCAGACAGGAGAGGCAGACAGGGAGGACAGAACCAGGAGACAGACAGGGAGCAGACAGGGAGGCAGACAGGGAGGGCAGACAGGGAGCAGACAGGGAGGCAGACAGGGAGGCAGACAGGGAGCCACGACAGGAGGCAGAAGGGAGCAGACAGGGAGGCGACAGGGAGGCAGACAGGGAGGCAGACAGGCGAGGCAGACAGGGAGACAGGACAGGGAGACAGACAGGGAGACAGACCAGGCGAGAAGACAGGGAGACAGACAGGGAGACAGACAGGGAGCCAGGCAGGAGGCAGCATGGAGAGCAGACAGGGAGGCAGACAGGAGGCAGACAGGGAGCAGACAGGGAGACAGACAGGGAGGCAGAGAGAGAAGCTGGGGATTCTTCCTCACGGAGCAAGTCATCATGCGCCACACAGACTACTTACGCGAAGAAACAGGAAAAGGTGAAACGAATAGGTCCGGACTTAATAAGAAACTTCTTGAAAATGGGGGGGAACCTTTTTTTTTTTCGAAGTCTATCAATTTTGAACCTCTTCGACGCTTAACCTATTTTCATCGAGCATTCTTAATTTTCGCGACATATAGCATTATCTGCACGTGAGTGTAAGTACCTCTTAAGATATTCACGCCATACCGAAGAAGCGAAAGCAATAGATCTCTCGAACCACAGACGGAATTTATAAAAGAGGTTACGTTCTCGCGCAGTCAAGACATTTACTGTATTCGCCAAACGGCAGTGGCGTACGTAAGTTGCAAAAAAATCAGGAGCAAATGTGACACGTGCAACACTTCGTAATATGAATTTCCCATCACGTTTCAAGTATTCTTTCCGACCTCTTTGTGTGCCATAGAAGTTTTTAACATTTGTCTGAGACACCATTAAGTTCCGTAAAATTTATATTCTTAGACATCCATGACTTCGGTAACATTTATTATGAGTCACCTATGAAGTTTTGTAACAATTATTCAGAGTCATCTGAAGTTTGTAACAATTATTCAGAGACACTCCATGAAGTTCGGTACACAATTATTCTGAGGCATCCATGACGTTTGTAATATTTATCTGAGACGTCCTGTTTCGATCTCCAGGGGGAGCGCCTATGGAGCCGTGGGCTCGGCCGCTGGCACAGCTGGGACTGGGCGGGCGGCGAGCAGACAACTGCGTGTCGATAGACCGCTTCGGCATGTACTGGGACGTGCCGTGCACACTGGCGTCTGCCTACGTGTGCGCGGCCGCCGCGCCACCCCCGCCGCCCCCGCGCCACCTGCGCCCCCGCCTCGACGACGGCGGCAGGCCGCAGACGCAGACGCTGCCGCCGCCCCGCCGGACGCCCCCGCGCCACAAGACCCCGTGTGAGTACAAGGAAGGAATTGTCCCAATCACACACTTGTCCTCTTCTTGAGTTCTGATGACAGTATCATAAGATACCTTCAACTAAGAACATGCAAATTCACTACCAATTTCGCGTCTGTGACCTTCTGGAGGGAGGCAGATATTCAGTTACACTAACCGCTTCATCGACCAATATTGAATGTATTATGCTTTCATTTTCACGAGTTCTTGGTACTTATCACTGGTCTTATAACTACCCCTTTTTACAAAATAAACCTATATTCATAAGTCTTTTTTACTGAAACACCAAAACGAGTTTTTTTCTACCAATCCGCCACTCAGCGGCGCTTTCGATTAGCGCGCCCGCAAGCAAAGCATTGGTTTAAATGAAGGTACTTAGAAGTTACTCTAAGAAGGACACTTTGTCCCATCGGAAAACAAATTAACTTAATGTAGGGGGATGCTATTGCAAGAGATAATAATGAAGCCATTTACAATTGGGCTAACTGTAAACGAACGCACTGACAAAATAAGTGCATGAACATACCGTGCACTTATGTTGCCAAAAGTACCTGTCAAAGCGGTCCCCTTTTTATATAGTAATCTTTAGTCACGCGAGTGGCGTAGTCACGCTGCTGTGGAGATCGGGGCGAACTCCCGCCACCACCAGCATAGACGTGCGCTCGCGCCACCGCTAGCAGAACACTGTTCTAAATGACAGCGTTCACAAGAGACGCGCCACTTAACCGCTCTTTGCCTGTTATCTACCTTTGTCCGCCGCCATCGGTCTTTGTCGGCCGCCTGAGTCCACACCACTGTGATTCACGAATCGTTTCTCTCGCGCGGTCAGTGTCGGTTGGAGGTGTCTGTCTGATGGGCTCTGCCGCTTCTCGGTGGCGCCACCAAGTGTCTCGATGTGAAGGGCTCTCCGCTTCTCGGTGGCGCCACCAAGTGGCGCCATGTGAAGGGCTCTGCCGCTTCTCGGTGGCGCCACCAAGTGGCACCATGTGAAGGGCTCTGCCGCTTCTCGGTGGCGCCACCAAGTGGCTCCATGTGAAGGCACTCTCAAACTGTGGGTGAATAGCAAGGGTTTTTATAATGAATTAGTAGGTTGTCAAGTAAGAAAAGGTAAAAATAAAAGCATACACGTTATTGCTTAGTTACATTACATTTTGCGGAAATAAGTGTCTAATCGAATGGCTTAATTGAGTAAAGATGAAATAATGTAAGTCATATTTTTCAACTTAGATTTATTAAGAGAGTCGGTTTCGACGGCTTCGCCGACGAGAGTGATGACGGAAAAACCGTCGAAAGTCGTCTCTCTTAATAAGTCTAACTTGACAAATATGACTTACATTATTTCATCCTTGAACAAATGTCAGCAACACCTCATCAGCATTCCCACAATTAACTGAGTGAGCAAGCAAATAAGTGAACAGAGAGTAAGTGAAAAGTGCAATAAATATCCATAGAATAAGTGAACGAGGGAATGAGTATTTAAATGAAAGAAAGAAGAGTGAATGAACTATTGAATGCAGGTTCAAGCAATTAAGTTAAAAAACGGTTGAATAGATGAACAAACGAGTAAATAAATGATTGAACAAGTGTATAAGTGAACAAAAAAGGACCAAAGAAAATCTACGACTGACTTCGGGAGTGGAGTAACTTAATGAATGAATGAATGGATGTTTGAAGGGTGTTAAAAATCAGAAGTAATTGTGTGTGTGTGTGTGTGTGGATGTGTGTATGGCGCGTGTGGGTGTGAATAGCTCTGAAACTGCCTCTGCATCCCTCTCTCCCAGCCTTAACATTTTTGAAGACATCAGCCTCATGTTGTAATGTGTCAAGTGTAATGGACATGGGCAGTGGAGAAATACAAATTGAAATTGAAATTGAAGTACCTTAACCTCTTCATGATCAGTAGAATAAGGACCAGCTTGGCTCTTAGCAAGAATAGAAGTAAATCAGGAAATGCCTCTATCTGTGTAACGAACTTGTAAAATCATCACTAAGCAGTGATATCTTTCCAAAGCTTTCTTTAACAGGTCTCCGCAATCCACAAGCATAGGAATTTAAAACAGGACAGCTGGTTTGTGGGTGTAGATATTTCGTCAAATCTTAACTCTTGTCCCGATAGTTACACTGAAGTGATTTTTTAATTACCAAATGTTGGGAAACAAACACTCGTAGCTATCTTTCGTCATTATTCAGACAAATAGAAGAGTAGATGAGAAAGACTTGTAAATTAGGAAGGATTCCAGATCTCAAAAAAGTGCACAGGTTGTACTGATTCCTCTTACGACATAGTGTTTTACTGTTTTTTGGCATGAAATCATAAATCAATATTTTTTCTTTCATGATATTTTTATTTCTTAATTTTTGGCGTCGCAAATCTAAAATATTGTAAGGAAATACATAGAAAAGTCTGTGATAAAGCATACATGAGAAGCATACAAAACAGTGCGCTTCTTGTTATTTGTCCCACCCCGTTGCCTCAATGACACTGTTAACTTCTTAAACAACAGAGTACACAGCTCTATATTACTCGCAAAAAACACCGGACAATTAAGAGCTTCGCTGTAAGTAATTAGCAACGCTTGAGCAACCCAGAGTCTGAGTAAACATTTCATCATACGTATTTACAGTAAAATACGTTCTTTATGCGTCTCTAGAGGCGAGGAGAGAACAATTAAGCTGGATTGAATTGGCTTAACCCGAGAAAAAATATTACGAGAAAAATCAAGTTTAAAGTTTTTACACACGATTTTACCATATTTACTTCATGACATGTATATTTTGTCTGCCACCGATACCACGACTCGCCGTGTCCTTGAAAACTGACGAAGTCAGGTAGACCCATCAGAAGGTCCACCTATCACATGGAGGAGAATTCTAGCGGCCGGCTACTTTGATTTATAATTTTTCGTGGATTCGCCAATCAATACCAGGCGAATGCCAAATCAGTACTCCTCACAACATAACGGTTCACGCGGAACCTTTCCTTGTTCTTCCTTGTACCCTCTTCTCTTCTCACACACATACACTCACAAATAACACTTAACGTGTACTTCACAACACGGAAGCCCAATCAGGAGCTTAGAGCTTGTTCCGGAAGGAAACATACCCTGATTGGGGAGATTTCTGGAACATGAAATACCGCACGCCCACTTGCAAATCAGTGCTGGAACTCACATTTCTGCGAGGAAGGGACATCGCCATCTCCCAACTATAACATGCATTATACTTGCGAGATTAATGCCCTAAGTTGATGACGCACCAGCAAATTAGTGATGCTAAAACAGCACGTACTTTTTCGTCCGTACTTTCAAGCAGAAGTTTCCTAAAAGTATTCAAATTTTCAAAAAAATTGTGCATGTCCTTATTTCAAAATGTATCTTTAAGAAACATATTTTGTTAAGGGAAAGAAACTCTACCTTCATAATTGTAGTCGTAGGAGGGCGCCAATTTTTTTTAATTTGACAATTTTCGAAAAATCAACGAATATGACAGCTGTACAATTCTCTTCAACGTCCTTTACACTATCCAACAACAAAATTTAAGAAAAAAACTATGGTGTTTTTTTTATTTGGAAAATATCCTAGTGGCTTCATGAAAAATCACCCTCAAATTAAAATGTGGTTTCAAATGCAAGGGACTGCGTCACCAGCCAAAGCGATGGGGATATCAATTTTGGAGAAAATCGGCTGAGCTATTTAGCCGCTAGCGTTGTTCACAGACGGACGGCCTTTTTCCGTCAATCGACTTTCCGGTGTCAGAGACTCACAAAACAGATTCTAGCTACACCGCGTGTAGTTACCAGGGCCCGGTAATGAGTTTTCCTGCCGAAAATTCGCCATTTTTTCCCAGCATTACATAATTTTTTATCTACTGCGTAAGCGTTGCGAGAGAGTGAAACTACTCATTGACTCGAGCGATCGGGAATTCGACCAGTTGGGAGTTCAATTGATCTAGGACCCGAAGCATTGGGTGAGGAGTAATGTTTCCTGGCGCGTTAACGACTGCCACCATTAGTGCACGTTTGTATACCCCAAGAGGTGTCGGTGTTGGTTTCCCCTGGAACATCACACCTTGTAGCTATCGAGCCTTATAGCTATCGGACCTTGTAG